CTCTATTGGTACCTCCGCTGAGTCTGTAGGACGTTCTGTATTGAACAGAAGTCTCAGCATTTATGTGTAGTCGGCTTCGCAACAGCACAGACGGGGTTGTGTAGCATCCGATTGTAGTTGTCCTCAAAGGACCAGATCAAATTCCGTGACCACATGATCACTGCCACCTAAGAGATTTCGACGAGTAAGTGATCGCCGTTTAGGATATAATCCAGCTGTGACGACTTTCAGCTAGGATCGCACCCGATGGCGTCTCCATCGTTCTCAGTCAACCTTGTATTTCTGATGGTACGTAGCAGATACCTAATTTTCCAGGAGCGCTTCGCAATTACATACTGTGACTAAGAAGTTAATAGTTAGGTCTTCTGAATGTAATTTAGTAAAGTCTACTGAATTTTCCAACAGAAGCAGGAGAAAATTAGTGAAGTATTGGTAGCTTCTCATAATTATGTCTGCTGTATATTGAACATTTGGCTTTGCATGACCATCAATAAAGGTCACTTTCGGGATCATTTCAAAATTTTCTTATATCTGCAAGGTATTGTTTTTGGGGATTTTCGTTTGTTTGTTGTTTTGGGTTAGTAGAATCTTGTAGAGAGACGTTCAGAAAATACCATGTCATGTTGAATATATACTCAAATATAATAATGATCACTCAGACCACAAGCTTTCGAGATTCTTGAAGAATATTTTGCAAGCTGTCTACTCAAAACACTGAATTTTTTGACATCATACTACCAAGGGTGGTATTCAATACTTTTGTAGCATTTTGTGCACAACGTGCCAGGATAATGGCCAAAGAGTCAGTATGGTTCTCTTCTGAATGTTTTCGAAAGTTACTTTCGAGTAGTACTAATTAGTACTCTCACTAGCTAGGAAGCAAGAACCATTGCCTTAAAACCATTTCGGGTATACTAATTTGGACTAAAAAAACATGAAGTAACACAATAATCGCACTTGGTTCTTAGAGATAAACACAGTGCCGAACTTGTCGTTAATTGTTGTTGGTAGGTCCACTACAGTTTTTTACCATTAGTCATATATGACGTCCCTTCAGCAAAACTGAGACACATTATGGTCGTCCGTCTTTAGTTAAAAGTGACATTTGTATTTCTTATTCATTTACTAGGGATGCTACTACTTTGTTGTACTTGTGGACTGTTATAAAGCATTACGTTTGGGTTAGCAGTTAAATCCTAAACATTTCATATTTTAAGGCTGTTGGCTCTAAAAATCTCAGGAAAACTTCTGCGGTTATATATTACCGCCTACTGGCAAGGATCAACGGGCCGCTGTACATCTTTGTGCGTCGGTGGCATAGCGGTTAGCACTCTCGTCGACCCGCCGACGCACACCTGATATCTATGGTCGGCCTGCTAAATTTTGGCTACCGATATCACATGCTGAAAATTTCATACTTGTACCAAAATACTATGTGGAATCAAGCTATAATAAAAAAATCCATAACTATGATTCCTGCAACTAGAACATCCCGATTGATATTTAATCATAATTTAGAAAGTCAGGTACGAAGAGCTTAGGTTCATTCTGTACCTTTTAATTCTTGAAGTACTTGTGACTATGTTGCGCCTTTATCAAATTAGCGGTGTAATAAATTTTGACGTGATATGATCAGAAGTCTCGATGTTGGACTACCTGTTCATCTGTAAATCATCTCCAGGATTAAGGATGAACTATGTTACTGTCTTGGTTCTTTTGAGATCCAATAATTTAGTGAAAGAGTGCAGTTAAGTAAAATTAGACAGGCATTCCTAAGTTGTGTGAAACATGCCCTGGTTGCACTGGATTCGAGCACTGTAGTCGGACAACTAAAATATATCGGAAATAACATTAGGCAAAGATGTCCAATAGGGGAATATTTACTATGATCCATACAGATGTGTGAATCAGGACTTAATGACTTTTTCTGTTGGGTTAGTAACAAGCATAACATCATTGACTGCTTCAGTTGCATAAGTCAGGTCACGAATAGGTAAATGTTTACATCAGAAAGCAGGTGGTGGTATTCAAATAAACGTGGTGGTTTTGATGATATCATAAGTACCTGACAATGTATCTAAACCAGGTCATACCTTACAAAACAGTAAGATGAATAACCAATTATTGAATGTCGGGACAATCGCTTGTTTCATTCCCAGCACGTGAGGTCTTTGGTAAAACCCTAATCTAATACCAGAGTTACAATCAGTAATAACTTGAACCCGGGTTGATTGTAAAGATATTTCTACATATACGCTTCAAGCTTGAGATGCGAATTGTTGGTAACAGGTAGGAGAAATCGGCATTTGACTTCTGGTTTAAGCAGCGATTTGCGATGGTAACTACAATCAGAAGCTTGATTTCACAATAAGTGTGATAAACTTGCTGAAGAAGAATGCCATTTCATAGACACAGCGTTATGGAATCTAAATAAAATTTGGAAAGCGTTATCGTACACCTAAATTTAGCTTTTCCCACCCACATCAACTCAACCATCGGAGAAATTATTGATGTAGTTCCAAAACGTAACACTAATCAACTTCTCAGCTACTGATAAACGATTCAAATTTATTTATGGCACGAAAACCTTAGGGCCTTCTGTATTTCTAAGATAAGGGGGATTGTGGTTCAGTTTGCGGAAAATTTCAATTTAGGAATTCAGCTGCATCATATGAGTAGATATTATTCATAGTTAAAATAACCAGTTGGCTTCATTACATTGTTCGAAGGAAGTCAGGCTGGCATGCTTCTGTGTAAAACCTACATGGTCTTAAATAAGCAGACAGTTTTGGAATAATATACCTTATGATAGCTATTCATCCTTTCTAAACTTGCTGTATTATTCATTCGTATTCACTATCATCCGTTACACGTTCTTAATATTACCTTTGTGTACGTATGAAGACCTTACATTTACTCTTTCCTTAAAAGTTGAGTTGTGGTCGAGCCACTCGACCTTTAGTTAGCAATTCAGGAGGTCATTCAACTAAGCCTGATAACCAAGTTAAAGGTTTAGTAAATAACTAAAGATTCGTTCTACTTAGGACATTGATAAAACATATACTGAGTGGTTCAAACTAAGTTATACACAGAAACGTGAATATTGTTTTGGGATTTGTACTTTTGGGGTCACTATTTAAAACCTAGCTTTGCTTGTGGTGGTTGAACGAAACCTTCCACATATATTGCTCAGTTTTGACTGATATTTAAGCAATGGGATCTGTAATCAGTAAGAGTCTCATTATCTTTATTAATGTACCTTTTGGCTATCCGACATGTTACAGAAGCTAAACAGTTTAACTTTCGGCTTCGTTAAGAGCAGGTAGTCGGGATTTCCTTTTGTTTCGAAATTGGTCATCTATCCAGACTCACTGTTTTGATGGTTTCTTTTTAGAATTTCCCATTTGCCGTCAACTTATTGGAAGGCTGTGTGTATCTTTTGGCTTTTCTTATATTTTTATCTCGGTATCATCATCATCATCATCATCAGGGTATCAGTTGTTATTATTTTGCTTTTTGTTCATAATTTAGGACAGAAAACATATATGTGATCGTACATAAAAGAATTAGAACTTTGTCGATAGGTACAACGATTCAAGTTGTCTCACTTCAATGCAACATTGGGAGAAATTAATATAGTAGATAAAATCAGAGAATAAACGCAAAAGCTGTGAAGAAAGTGAGCAACAATTTCAGAATATTGAGAATTTCAGAAATAACGGAAGGTAAATTCATGTATACAGCCATTAGTTTCTGATCTTTATCACTAACTGTCCCTTTTATAAAAGTCTCATTACAATTTACCAATTCGAAAGAGGTCATTAATGAGTAAGTGGAGACTACTTATGTCCAATTCGCATCATGTTGCGTCGGGATCCGGATCACTAGCTTCTATTATTACTTAGGTTGCGGTTATGCAGTCAATATTTTGCACATTGCTTAAGACAACCGGTCGTGACTTCTTTTGATCCTAAACCTCGGTGTGGCAAACATAGGGTGGTTTTAATTGAGTTCTGTTGCATCTACTAGTGCACATGAAGTGCAGACTGAAATCCTCATCATCTGACTTGGTTTCCGTGTTCAGTCAGCCTCTGTCACTATCAGAGTACATGGGGAAACTTGTTTAAATCCCCGCAACTTTATCAAGTATCCTACTGGAGTTGAACGTTCTTCAGTAACAGGGGGAGATGAGGCGAACTATTGTGGAACATATTTAATTTTCGATGGATGGTCAGGTATATTGTTTACAACATATGTGGTGAAAACAGGTAAGCACTAAAGGAGTCCTTTGTATTCGTGGGAAGGATTAATTGGTAATCTTTGTTTCAGAGATTATTGTGTTTAGTACAAGGAGCACATTTATCTCTTTCATTTCAGCTAGGCAACTAATTAGCTAAGTTCTGCTCACTGTGTTCACATGATGCGGATTGTCCCTTCAGAATCGAGATAAAGAGTGTGAGTGCTCGACGCCAATCATGGGATTGGCTAGGGAGGGCTCATCTAGGATAGTTGAGTGACCCTAATGTTAAACCAATAGTGTCTATGTGTTCCCGGATCTGATGAGAACAATGGTGTAGGCACCTATTTCGCTTATTGGCAAACATGAGAATGTAAGTCCTCACGTGTGAAGTGAAAATGTTTTACTATCTTATGCGGTGTTTTGATGTTCATCATTGGCATTAAATATAATAGGTGTCGTAGCATGGTAGTGGTGAGGACTTACTTCGTACTTAGCAGTTGTGATATGCATTTCAAGTGATTTCATGTTTTTATTGAATTTGTCTATTGTCCACTTAGTATTTTTGTCTATGTTGGGTTTCTAGGAGTTCACGTATAAAAAAGTCACTCTTACCAGAGCATGTAGAACATGCAGAAAACCGTGATTCATGAATACAGGTTTTAGTGTGATGCACATTCCATAATAATTATTCATTTCGACTTTTCTTAATACCTCATGCTTTTTCTTATGCTATTTTACTTATGCATTTCAGTCTTCAAATATGCTTCTCAAAGAGTATCGCATATGTATGCCTCTAACAGTTGCTGAATATAGAATAGCTCAGTTGTATATGATTCAGGTAAGCTTTCTCACACTATTAATTTTTTACTTGTTAAAATCTTTATTCAGAGCCATTCAAAGGAATTTGTATAATTTCATTTCTTTCTGTATAATTAGCTCCACTGTAGCACAAAGTTTCCTTGAGCGTATAAACTGGTATTTGCATTTACTAATTATTCAGCACATGTGTCAATATTTATGGCTTGGTGTACCTAACGAAGGAAGCTGCTTAGCTTTGATTCCTATCCTTAAATATGACTTTATTTTATCAATTTCGAAATTTTGTGACGGTTCGCCCATCATCTTTGTATTTAGTTTATCCTTCTACACTTTAGTCTGACTGACTGACTTGTTTCAACGTAGAACTTTGCACTGATATGAGGGAGTTCGAGTTGTCACACTTCACTTAGCACAGAAAGCAAGAAAAGAGAGTAAAGAGAGATTCAAAACAGAGGTGAGGTAAGAAGAATAGCAATATGGAAGAACAATATAGTTTTATGGGGTATTATAAGTCACAAGGAGTGGATACATATGCGCCATTGACAACGATTTTGAGCCATATCACCAATTGTCTCCAGTCTCTATTGGTCTCGAGGACCCCAACCAAGAAATCCACACCTTCCTACATGGCTTAAACTAACTGTTGTGGATTTCATTGACTGGTGCCATGTTTTCGTTTGACCGCCGCTAGCTCTTTCCCAGCCTGGCCCTATATCAGCTAACATTGCCCACTATCGAGGAAGGCGATGGCTAGGCATACGTAACACAAATCCTAACCATCTCAGTCTATGTCACTTCATAGGCTCGTCTGTTGACTCCCTCTCCTTACCTAGCACTCGATGCCTGACCTCAATATTGCTCAGCCTCCTATACCACTTCACACGGGAGATAGAACGCAGTTACCTATGATCAAAGACAACTAGTCTCTTCATGTCTTCCACTTCCGATGGCCATGTATAAAAGCCGGTCGGTCGGTTGGTTTTCGACATAGAACTTTGCACGGAGCGGACTGATGAGCAGTACCACACGCCCTTTGGTCGATAGCCGGATATCACGTCTACGCCAGAGACGGCGTAAACTGGCATATGCGGAACGAGCCTTCTATATCCATGCTGAGATTTCGTCAGCAACCAACCTGTTGGGGCTGATGTAACTCCCCAAATAAGTGAAGTAGTCAACATGCTCTACCGCTTCACTCCCTATTTCTAAGCTAGGAATCAATGTAGTTCAGTCCTGTAGCATCATCTTACATTTGACAAAGGTAGCGAATCGCATGTCAAACAACTCAAGGTGTTCAGAAGACTGTATTATGTCAGCGTCCTCACCTAGAAGGCCTATATCATCTGCATATTCTAAGTCAACGAGATTATTCCCTGGTAATTAGCTGAAGTGAGTTAGGGTTAAGTCCATTAGTACATCTATGATGAAATTGAATAGAAATGGGGATAGTGGGCATCCCTGACGGACACCACTAGTTGTCACCACCTCAGATGACAACTCGCCGTAGGCTCTCACTAGGCTGCATGAATTTGAGTAGAATGCCTTGATTAGTGCATTGTATTTTCTCGATATTCCCTTTACAGCCAAGCATCGCCAGAGAACCTCTCGGTCGACAGAATCGAGTACCGCCTTTAGGTCAAGAAATATGACGATTGTTGGACGTCTGTAAGTATGTCTGTTTCAGAATCTGTGGAAGGGTGAAGATATGATCGATACTCCCTCTTCTTGGTCTAAAGCCTGCCTGGTTCTCTCGTGTTTTTTCCTCTCGAGCACCACTTAGCCTACATATTATTATTGAGCCTAGAACTCTAGATATCATATTAGTCAAGCTAATCCCCCTGTGATTATCACGGGAAGACTTGTCTCCCTTCTTGTATATCAGAATAATCAATGACTTACACCAGCCCAACCGAACTTCCTCTGATTCCCAGACGCTGCCTAGTACCTTAGTTAACGCAGACATTAAACTGTCTCCACCGCACTTAAATACCTCTGAAGTCATTCCACCAGGCCTCGCAACTTTGCCTCGTTTCAGATTAGTGACGGCTTTTGTAACCTCAGTTACGGACAGGGGACCTGTGTATATATTCCATTCATGGAGGTGTTGGATGTTCAGTAAGTTGAGTGTGGCTGTAGGCCAATTAAATTTCTCCTCAAAGTGTTTTTTCCAAGGTTCCAATCGTCTCTCCTGAGACCTAATTATGGTGCCGTTTTTCTCAGATATTGTTTCACTTATCGTTTGCCTTTTACCACCTGTTTCCCTGATAAGTCTAAATAGTTGTCTGGTGTTACCAATCGCTGATGCCTTTTCCACCTCTTTCGCTTTTGTCGCCCACCACTGTTCACCGTCGTTACGAAGGCTTCTTGTTAGTTTGCAGTATACTTCAGTACACTTGCTTTTGCTTTGTGAAATCTCTCTCTAGTGTCTATATAGATTAAAGTCTCTACTATGGTTTGTTGCAACACTACAGTTGATGAAAGTTAACAACCGCGCGTTTACATACCTTTCTTACCCATTATTCACTGCTTAATGTTAACAAATTTTGTGCTTCTGTCATATTAACGTAGCGTTGAACCCATCTATAACGCGATGATCGTGAATATTTTCCTCAACCATGAAGTGAAATGGAAAAAATCTGTTGTAGCATACTTGCGTTTTAATAAACTTTAGGATTATTTGACGAGTAACCAATGTTGTTTGTGACCATCGAAATTTCAGTGGTAAATAACAGTTCATTGGTAAGTTTTGGGGTAAAATAGTTAATGTGCCGCTCATTCCAAAGACAACGTGTTGATGAAAATCAAGCATATTGATCAGTCTGACACTACTGCGTAGTGTAATTTTCTAAATAAAACAAGAATTCAGCAGTAAAAAAATACTTTTTTGAATCGTTCTTGTTTTACTTAGAAAAAGTCTCGCGAGGAGAGTACAGGTCGTGGAAGTGGTGTTGAGATACTAAAAAATGAACCTTATGAAGATGGACCCGGTGGAAAAGGTCAATATACATTCAAAATCTATCATGTGGGCAGCCACTTACCATGTAAGCTTTATACTTTATGGTGTTGTTAAGAAAGTTCATTTTTAAATACATTTATGTAAAAGGACTTCTTTAGTCTAGTTTTATATTGTTGCTTTTAATTTCCAATATTATTTCGGTTTTCGTAATTTCTTTTTGAAATATAAGCTATATGGAATATCAGTTATTACTGAACATCTAGACGTTTTATGTTATAAATTTTATGTTTCTGCTGAATTGATTACTTTTGATAGAACTCTGAGTTTTAAGTAACAGTGATACTTCCTTGGAGGATTTGACTAGTACGTAAGAATGAAAAGCACACTTACCTATAGAGCTGTTGATTCTCATGTCTAAGAGCTTATGGCATTTACACAATTTTGTGTGGTAGTAAGTTGATCGCATTTTATACTTAACCTATTTTCTTTATTCATTTATGAATTTGTGCCTAACTGTATAAACAAGTGACATAATAGTGTATACTTCGTGATAAAACTGATCGTTCAGCGTTTTGTAAGCCGCTCTATATGATTGCAAGTGCTTTATCTAGTGGGTAATTACTTTATTACGTCGTTCGCATATAGACTAGCCTTATGACAACGAAAATGGTATGTAAAGAATAATGAGTTGTCACTCACGACTATTAGTGACTGTTGTGCGGAAGCTTTTTTTCGGTTCAAGAACTTAGGGAAAGAGTAACATTACTGAAGTTAGGTAGCGTAACTTAAGTATATTAAGTGTATTAAGCGTATTTTAACTAAATAAATATGAATTCGGTAAATTTTGATTATTTTCATTGCATTTTGTGTACTTTAATTTCAGCGTGGATTCGTAATATATTACCGTCATCTGCTTTACGCGTAGAAGAAGAGGCTTGGAACGCTTATCCCTATACTAGAACAATTTATAAAGTACCTTTTGTAGAGAAACTAGTACTCGATGTGGAGACATATTTTTTCGATGATTCTGGAGAACAAGACGATGTATTTAAGCTTTCAGAAGATGAGAAAAAAGCTCGCATTGTTGGTAAGTTGTAAAAGAAAAACTTATAAATCCGAATGATGAGTTTACAGCATCTGCCTATACTTTTTATGGTGTTACGTAATGGTATCGTTCTCATTATGTGATGTTTATCAGGCACTTTGTTATAAGCTGTAACGTGTGGCTATCAATTTACTAAAAGTTTTGTCTCCTAATGTATTGACAAATTTATTCAACAACTTACGCAAAAGTGTTCGTTAAGTCCTTTCAAAGAACTCCGTTCTATGCAGTTCTTTTTGAAGCTGCACCTGTCTGGTTGTGAATTTCTACTTTCGTTAGTCAGGTTTTATAAACGCCAAGATGTTTTTTTTTTGTTATTTTAATGTGAGTATCAAAATTGGGATGATTTTTTTGACTCAGCAAATCAAACATGTCTTTAGTATCTGCCGTTGAATTGGCTTCTATATAAAAGATCAGCTGCTGAAATGGGCTTGAAAGTATGCGGAGATGGTTGGTTTAGAATGTGACTACACGACTATCCAATAAAGGATTTTTGATGCACTTTGACCTGATATATGATGTTAATATATGGTCTTGTTTTGCACAATCTCTACCAGCAATGCTTAGTTTAAGCGTATAAGTTTTGGATAGAAGTTAGGAGTTATTTGATGTGAGCACTAATCTTTTGTGTCAATTAGGGCATGTTGTGTTGTGCTGTCTACCACAGGTAGGTAATGAAGCATGGGATTAAAAAAAGTGAATATTTGTCAAACTAGACCGGAATTATAAAGTTATTGACTGTTCATGTGAATTGTGTAAGTTGTGTGACTGGCGTCCAACAAACAGTTAAAATTGTTGTTTAAAGATTGTGAATAATATGTTCAAGAATCATACTCTATAATGCAAATGAATACCTACTTTATCATTATCTCAATTGCATTATAACTTGTTTCTTAACTTGCCTTGAGTTTTTTTTTCACTGGTTTTGTTATGGTGTAAATTTTTTAAACTTCTCATTTTCCTTCATATTTTTTTTTTTTTACCTGAGTTGCAATGAGTGTATAGGATTTCACCGTGGATTGTCACATATGTAACTACTTAACCTTCCAAGTTTGACTTGCGTCTGTCTGTTTGCAAAGAACTGACTATTTATCATTTTTTTTCCGGTTGTATTTCCATGTAACTTGTCACTTGGAACTTCCCCTTCATCATATCCTCACACTGTTGTTGTATTACCTTGCATAATGCATTCGTTAATATCACCAAGCACTAAAATGATGTTTTACAATAATTTTGATATTTATAAAAGTACTTCACTAATTCCAAAGACCCTATGGAAGTATGATATAGGATATTTACTTATTCTTGTCATTATTGTATTAATGTGGATGTGTGATTTTTTGAAGTGTGTAAAATTTAGTACTTCTGAGATGAAACACAGTTGTTTCACGTCACATTATTAGACTGTGTAGGTTTATTGTACATGTAACTTGAAGGGATCGGCTTTAATGATAAAGTGTGATTCTAGGTTAATAAGTGGACAGGAGAGTTGCATTTGTTTACAAACAAACTTTTACTGTGACTGGAATTCAATAAGCTGGTAAATATTGATAGTAAATGGTGAAGTTGTTGTAGATAAATTGTTTATATCGTTTGAACATTTGTCACCTCTCTATGGTATTTTATATTATCTGTTGGATCGATGACTCTCCCTAAATGCTAAATGCCTTTTATAATTACTTATGCTTGTTTTTATTTGCCGCTTTGTTTTTGGCTTTTATACAGCTTCTGGCTGTACTATTTAAAAAAATCTCCGTTCACACTGACTTCTCCCAAGTTATGAGTCGTAGCAACTTCCATTGTTACTAAATTCTCTTAGACCCAATGTTATGATTTTTCTTTGCCTGTCCTACAAGATGCTTAAAAACTTTGACATAAGAGAAGTAAAACAAACTAGTCCAGTTGAAGGTCAAGTAGACATAACAAAAAAGAATATAGATTTTGGATAAATGAAAACATAAGGTTATAATTACTCTAAACTATTAGGGTAAGGTGATTACTGAGTAGATTTTATCTTACTAATATTATTCCTAAATTAGTAAACCTCCTTCAACTTTCAGCTATTGATTTTAGAAGATTGAATAAAATCCCTTTTACAAGAAATCATCTTATTTCAGTTATGATTAAGTATTGACATGAAAAGTTTTTTTGTTGTCATCTGCAAGCGACTTCTTTGAAGCTAAGTTCAAGGAATGAAGTAACTCGGTAGTTAGTTTCATACACAGGTAATGATATGGTTCAGTTTCATTATAATTTAAGGGAACAACTGATTATAATTCAGCTTTTCATGATTGTTTCATTAGAGGGAATGATAATAATAATCCTCCTTGGTCCTGTAGTTTGCTGCTTTTTATATTGTTCATGCTTAGGTGGTGAATTTTTGGTGTGATATAGATTATAGTGGCTACTGAGTGAATAGTGAATCTCTACTTTTTTATTTATCAAATTTGGTATTTTAAACTTTATTCACTCTGGTTAGAATAATATAAATACTTCCCACTATGTTCCTCAATTATTTTTCTTTGTTAGTCTCATAGAATTACTCTGATATGCTACTTTGTTATTACTATTTCATGTTTTCATATATATTTTTAATGAAAACTTCTTCTACAGATTTCATCGATATTGTAAAAGATTCAGTCACTGGGAACGACTATAAAGTAGAGGAAGATCCGACTATTTATGCGTCAGCAGCAACCGGTCGTGGGCCACTATCTCCAAATTGGCGTGAAGAATTCACTCGCGCTCAGAAAGTGACTCTTGAAACATATGAAAGACCACCAACGCGAACACATGACAATGCACCAGCTACTGAAGTTTTGAAACCGTTGCCTAAGCGGATTATGTGTGCATATAAACTCTGTCGAGTGGAATTTCGTTATTGGGGTACTCAAACACGAGTTGAACAATTTATTCATGATACTGGTATGTTGTGGTTGCTTTTTGTTTCTTAAATTCGAGTTACTTGATTTTTATTCCACTGTCTGTATACCTCTAATCACCGGTCACTAATAATCAATGCAGTAAAATAGAACCATGTATTATTCGTTTGGGCACTTGACTTTGATGGACTCGAATCACGTCTCATTTATCAAAGTGTAATACCACACGTCTTTAAAATTTGTGTAAAATATTTTGCAGTGCAGAAAACTGCGCATGGTTGCATTTCATATGCAATAAATAAATATTTTTTCAAGCCTGGTAGAAACATGTAAATTGTTCTAAATTTTTGAATATTTTCATCTGTTCTGCAATCGTTTGGTTGTTTTATTGGCAGCATTATTTGATAACTTGGTGTAATTGGCTTCAACCATATGTGTTTAGTCTATAACACAATAAAAATAAGTGTATAAATACCAGCTATTCTTACATGTAAACACAACAACTATGATCAAGAGTTGATTTGTAAGGATTTTATTTGTTCTTCCAGTTTAACATGGGTTCGAAACCCAGTGGGTGCGTACTACCGATGAGTCCCAAACTAAGACGAAACAGCTGTCCAGTACACCCTGGTTTTCAGTGGTTCTCTAACTGATATCAATCCGTGGTCAAACTCGAAAAACAACGACTATGGCGATTTTAGCTTAAGCAAACTGAAAGATGGGTATTTAAAATGCTTCAAAATATTATGCAACCATGGGGATAAAAAAACTATTTTTTATGAATATTTCGGAACAAAATTTAAAAACTCCTAAATTCATTCATGTGTACTTAAAAACATGGTGTTGATATAGAACAATCTTCGAATAATGATGCCTAGGTTACAAGGTTACTTTTTGATTATTCTAACGGATAGGCAGAAGTTCATAACTTCAAGCTTTAAAGGAGCACCTAAAATAAGGGAAGCGAAACTTAAGTATACTGCATTTGACAAACATACATGTGACTGAAAACTGTTAAATGAAGATTAATGAAGCTTTCTACAGTTTGGAAAAGAATAAGTATATCTATTTCATTGTGAATTATTTTGAGCAATATTAACAACACCAAAACCCTTGTTTTGTAACTCCACGAACTCCACATACAGCCAATCTACATCATTTTACAGGACTCAGAAAAACAGTTATTAACTTCGACGACTTATGTCGTATTTTGCTATGAGTACCCACAAATTTTTAACAAACTAGTTATAATCGAGCTAATATTGATCATCAAGGTAGGCTGTGGTTCTGCATCGTACCTACTTCAATCGATGTAGCTGTACAGCTTTACTAACTAACTACCAATTATTATTTACCATGTTTTGTTATCTAAACGAAGTAAGTAAACGAAATTGTCTACGTACCGGACGACATAATGCTGGCAGTGCAGCTATGCCTGACTTCCACAGTATTTAGATTCCAGGGGAAAATATATATATATACAAACTGAGAGAATTGCCATGGGGTCACCAATATCCCAGGTTGTGGCAGATATATTCATGGATAGGTGGGAGGACACCCAAAAGTATGGTGAAAGTATGTAGATGACACATTCACTGTACTTAGAACACAGGATATAAATAGATTTTTTGAACAAATTAACTCAAAGGTGGAGGCAATTCAGTTCACTTATGATTTGGAAAGTCAGGAAGGGGAGCTTCCAATGTTAGATTGTAGCGTAAAAAGGAAAGAAGATGGGAAGTTAAACACTAGTGTTTACAGGAAACCCACACACTCAAACAGATATTTGGACTTTCGATCATCCCATCCTATGTCAGTGAAAATAGGATTGGTGAAATGTTTAAACAATATAGCACAAAAAACTGAGTAGTACTAAGGAAAATCCAAGACAGGAAGTGAGGCATATAAGAGAAGCTTTGAAACTTAATAATTATCCTTTTAAATTAGTTAGAAAGTATGCAGGACAATGTAAAAATAAAGTAAATAATGATAGTGATGATAATAATAATAATAGTAATAGTAATGGCGACATGCATGTCAGATATGCGCAAGACAACACCAACAACAAAGAATCTAAATCATCAGTAGTAATTCCATACAAGGAAGGAACCTTGAAAACCTCAAGCAGAAATCTTAACAAGGCAGGAATAAAAGTGGTTGGCATTCAAACCCACAAACTCAATTAGAAACAAGCTTTGTCGGTTAAAGGATCCTGTGGAGCCTTTAAAACAAAACAATTTAGTTTATCTCATACCCTGCAATGATTGTCAGGTCAAATACATAGGTCAAAGTAGTAGAACAGGGGTAGTCAAACTAGCCGAGCATAAAAACCTAGCAAAATCCCGATTAGTTGACCCGAATAAGATAAGAAATCTGGAGAATAGTTCAGCTATACCACTCACTACATGCAATTACACACAACCATACAATAGGGTGGATGGGATAAGATGACAGTTTTAAAATCTAATGGAGCAAGGTGGAGGGAGAGATTGATAACAGAAGCTTTGTTTATCGAATCAACTGCAAAGACGTGTGATAGGAATAATTCAATACCTGTCCACCCAGATATCTGGAAAATTCTACTACAACGCCCATGAAGACAAATAGGAGAGAACAAAGAAAACTACAAAACTAAAATTTCGAAGTCGTGTGATTATAATTAATGAAATGATGATGAACAATAAATTTTGTTCGAAATGTCATCCACTAAACAAAACTGTTTCACTGTGTAATACATCTAATAAACAAACTAAAATGAAATTGTGTACGATTCTAATTTCAACGATCATATATGACAGATCTAAGATTGACGAATACCAAAGTAATTTTTTGTATATATGGTAACATTTTATCAGCAATCAGTCATACTGGATTGATATATTTTCCTAAATAAGTGAAACAGTCAACACACTTAACCATCGTACACTGCATCTTTTGACTATGATTCGGTGCAGACTAGTTCTGCAGGGTCATTCCCTATCTTAAAAATATACTCATAGTTTTGTTTTTGGGTGTTCAAAAGATCATATTTCATTGTATATATATTTATATATACTTTATTTCATTCCTTGTTATGTATCGTTTTATGCAATTGTATAAGGAGTGTCATCTTCCCGATTAAGGTGGTTGTCCTTTAAAATATCTGCGATACATCTTACTATCTCCTTCAACTATCTTTTTTTCTAAATATACATACTAAAGCACTTCGCAAAACTATGTTAAGAGCACATCGACAAGTATGGGCATGGCAGGATGAATGGTACGGGCTTACAATAGATGAGATACGTCGTCTAGAAGAGGAAACAGCTCAAGCATTAGCAACTAAAATGGCCATTTCTGATCAACTTACAAACACTAAAGATCAATTATCGAATCAAATTCCGTCAACAGCGACTACTAGTGCCACCCAAACAAAACCTCAACCTATTGGAGTTAGTTAAACACATTCTTTTTGTTCATTATAATAATAATAATAAAATCAATAAATTCTCTAGTGCCGTAATTCCCAAGTTTGAACTCAGTAAATTATGACTTTTCTGTACAATTGTAATATAACTTTGTATTGATGAAAACTGTCAGATTTTACTATTAACTCATGTGAAATGCAATCATTTAGTAGTTATATCAAGAAATAGGAGCATACAACATAACGTGACAACTGTCTAAAAGTAGAAGAAAGATAAACAAAAGAAAATTTAAATAAATATTCTTATAGAAAAAAATATATATATGAAGAAGAGTTCATTGTTTATTCCCACTTTAGCTACTTCACCCCAGGCAACTGATTAGTATCATCAAACTTCACGTGATAAGTGTAGCTCTTAGCCTAGTACACGGAAAATCTCTACTAGGCAACTAATTCCCAATAAAATAGAGATTAAATTATTTCATGAATTTGGTTTTCATTTGTCAAAGCTTTTCACACTGCCCTAGATATCAGTGTTTGATTTCTACAGAAGAAAAAGTCCTTACTGATGAGGGAAATTTGAGAAACAACATAGCTGTTTCCTAAATAATTATTTGTTTGTATTCATCATTATTTTATTATTATTATTTTTACTTGTATGCTTGTCTCTTGTTATTTTGTGTCAATAATTTTACTCATCATATTTGCTTTGTATTCTTTTTCAGAACTGTGAATCTGCTGCAGTCTCAACTAATCCATCTGAATCAACAGAATATCGTATTACACAAGATTCAACTAATATTGCAGGTGCGGATTTATCTGAAGGCTGTTCACCCAGCTAAAATTACATAGTTTGTATATATGTATATATTCATATATGTATATGTATTTATCAGTCCTGTTGTATGGGCATTGTGTACGTGTATAAGTTATCCTCCTTTTTACCATATACATACATTTACTGTTCTTAAGATCTGTGATTGTGAGTTTCATTGGATTTTGAAGGCAATAAGAAAGAAGTGAATAGCAGCGTATTTTCAACAAATGATATTCATTTTTATCATAAGAATAGTTGTGTTTTGTCACACTGAGTATGTTTAAGTATTAGTATCAGTACTAATATTTTTATGAATGTATGAAGCCTTCTAGGGAGAAAGTTTTCTGTGTTAAAGGACTCATCATAACTAGTATTAGTGTACTACCGTATTACGTGTGTACCGGCGTACTATAACAACATTGTGTATGTTAAAATTGTTGATGATGATCATGGTGGTGTTGGGTGGGAGGCGGGAGGCGGAGATTGCAAAAAATCTTTAATAATATTGAAGATATCCAAATGAAAAGTTAAAAATTGGTCAAAATATTCTTTTTTTTAAAAAAAACAAAAGATCCGCATAACCCGAAAATTTGTGAAATACAGCCTTTAGAAAATTTCCACTTTCCTCTTTTTATCATATATTGTATCATTGTCTCTGTCCTGTTAACCTTTATGAAATAAACTTTCTATTTTCACAAGTGTACTATTTTTGTCATAGTTAGACAACATTGTTGTGATGTTATGATGTATTTTGTATAACCTTCGTATGCAAGTGCTATTTTCATTGATTTGTGTTATATCTGAACCAAGTATATCTTTTTTTTCATGCATGGTATTCAATATTTGTATATTTTAATATCGAATACATTGGATATTCATGTATACTGTAGCATAAATTACCCAGTCTTGCATGTGGAATATTTCCAGTTCATCATCTTGTTTTTCTAGGTATATTTAGAAGAAAAAAAGTAATAATGTCATATATATTTATTCTATGTCTTCATTGATTCCTCCCTGTGTAATTGTTTATGTTGTATGCATGTCAAATTTACTCTTCCTATGTGTTGTTACTTCCTTCTTTGATATTATCCTTTCTTTCATACATAGTACATTTTAATTTCGCTCAATATTCAAAACTCTCAGCCGTACATACTCTATCTCGATTCAGTCTGGTGTTTTACCTCAGTGAAATGGTGTAATACCACGTTTTATATTTGAAGAAAATCTTCATTTGTTATCTTGAAGTTGGTATAAAGGTCAGAATATATTCAAATTTAATTTGTTAATCTATTTCCCCCTTCATTGTACAACATTTGGGTTTGATAAGAAAGCTGAGTTGGATTATTTTGAAATTATCTGTTCATTGTTTTGCTTTTTTTAATTTTCATTTAAAGTTTTGCATTGTTTATATTTATAAATACCTGAATTCACTGACTAAATCTGTATTAAAAATCTCTAAGACTTGGTAAAACAAAACAAAAAATAAATTCTTTATGCGATTAGCAGTGACCTTTTATTGAAGAACTTTACCGACCAATCACTGTTGTGCAGTTAACAAGTTTCAGATAAGGTGATTTTCAATTTCTGGGTTTTATTGCTAATCCCGGCTCAATGCGTTCTTAATATAATTCATGTCCCAGTATGTATCTTGTATAAGCTTAAAAGTATATTCATGGTTTTAGAGTAGACTAAATGGATCAAGTCATCTGCGTGGTGGCTTAAAGTGATAATGCTTCTAGCTTGTTGTAATCTCCGTAGTAGAATAGGCATTAGTTCGTGAGCTGAGTAATAATGATAATTGAATTCCTAGCTCAAGTAGTCATAAGTCCAAGACTGTGTATCTTCCGTCCTTTGTAAGTGTGGTTTTGCGGATGCTGACAACGGGATAATGAAAACTCTTGCAGTTTTAATTTTAGTTTATAAATCCTTTGACTATAAAAGTAATTTGGAATTACAACTGGTTGATCATAATTATGGTTTTTGTATACTTTTTAATCGTAATAAATCTCAAGGCTGTTTGTGTGCATCGCTAGTGTTGAAATTTTAGCATTATATTAGACAAATCCTTAAATAATTTACGCTTATTCCACAACAAATACTGTCCACTGGCTGATTTTTTATCGATTACTGGGCCAGCGCGAATTTCATTACTAAATACATATGTATATTTTTATCATCACATATGCTTCAGCACTTATTATTTTCATCTTCAGCTTAGCTCACTAATTGAGATCTTCATTTTTTCTAAAGATTTACCCAACTGGTTAGTATAATGCATTTCAATTTCGCTGTGGTATCTAAATTTACACTGAAATTGTAATTGGTGAATTCGTATATATGAAATTTCTGCATTTGTGGCTGTGTAAATTGATTTCTCTTACCTGGGAAGTCGTAATGATTCTTTTTTTTAGTATAACTAACTACGTGTCATATCACATGTTACACTTACACTTTTACTAGGAGCATAGTTTTCTTCATGAAAATGTCAAAATGCATATACATTTATATGTCAACTTGTTGCAGTCCAACTTTTCTGTCATAAAAAGAAAAGGTTTTTTGTTGTTGTTGTTGTGTTTTCTTTTTTTACAATGAATTCCAAGTCATGCGTTCATAATGACAAGCAACTTTCCTCAATATGAAAGTCAGTATTTTAACGCATACGTTTCAAAGTTTCGCCATTAAGAGAGTATAACCACATAGTGTAAAAACCGACTTGTTCATTCATCCTTGATGTTAAGAGGTGAAAATGACTTCATTGTTTATTATAATTTATTTAAACTTCTTCATGCATCACAGACTTGTCTGTGGATAAAATGTCTTCATTTTTTGTTTGAATTATATAATAATTCACCTTTGAACAAAGTTTCCTTTTGACTTGATGATTATATTCTTTTAATTATTACAATACCACATTATAACAAAGTATTTTTTGCACTAATTAAGTGACTGTTATCATTAACGGTATTGTTGTTGTTGTTTCTGGATCAAGTGTTTTCATCTTTCACATTTTAGATATTTCAATATTCTTTTAAAAATTAAGTGATTTATATATACATATATATATATTTCCTATGCTGAGTTATTTTGGCCATTTAGCTTTCTGTTGTCGTTTCATTGTCATTATTTTCTGTTTTCTATGTTGTACATTTATTTAACTTATAATGCACGTGTGAACACTGTCTACTAACTGATCGTTACTCATGTTAAACTGCACAATATCTATGCATTATATAATATCTGCATATCTAGATTCATGTTAAATTACTGTGAAACAATCTGGTTTTACTATTGAATTAGGAATTCGTTTTTTTTTCTTTTTGGATTTACTTAAATGGTGTGCCTTATTGTCTACTTATTAATTACTCTAATGATAATCATACAAACAGTGTATTTTGTTTCCTTTACAATTGTTGGGAAATGGTTTACTGTGTTTCAGAAAAGAAAAAAACTATGTCCAACTGTTGCTAGTCGTCTTTACCAAAAATTATTTTCATTATTCGTTTATAGTTTGTAAATTCTGCCGTGTAAATACATAATTCTCCAACTGAACAGTTTGAAATTCATTCTGATTGGATATTATTAGAAGTGGATAATTCTAATACTTCATTCACTGAGTGTTTCCAGTTTAATTTAATCGACTGATTTAGCCGTCTGGTTCACTTCAAGATAGCTATTGAATCTACTATGATAAATTGGACACAGGTACTAGACATTACTCAAGTGGTATTTATAGAGTGAATTCTCAGGATAAAATGCAACAAATATCAATCACATAGTGTATAACAAATGATAACTACTTGACATTTAATTTAAGACCTTCCTCTCAGTTTTTGGATTAATTCTATGCTCTTGAGCATTTTACTTTGAAGAGAAAAACAATTCACTCCCGCATGATTGATATAAAAAAAGACTTTCAGTTATGATAGTAGATATTCACCTTTGTTTACTTGTGCTTTAATAAGTTTCATTGGGTGAATAGATAAGCTGACTACTAATCGAATGTTAGTATTATTCATATTTTTCAATCGATATATCTAAACCTAATCTCACTTAAAGCTATCATAGACTCATACTAAATGCTAGTGCATTTATTGTGCATCACTCACTAGTGTTATTCCTCCTTTTATTTTGACTCTCAGATCATATATATATGTGTTCACTAGCTGAAAACTGCTATTAGTAGAGTTTAACTTTAATGCAGATCATAGATTGTGTTTATTTTTTTGTCTTTCATTAGCGATAGTTGTCATTAGATTAACTAACCTCTTAGTGGCTCGCATATTTCATGTAGGTGTTATCTAACAACTGTTGCTATTATTCATTTCGCCATCGCTATCCTATGCATTGGCTGTTGTTCACGGAAAGGAAATATGCAGCACAATTCCTTAAAATTTCTTATATATGTAAATAATCAATTTATTTTTATCACAAATACATATATGTAAACGACGGTTTTTCCATTGTTAATATCACTTTTATCACTTATTTTTTGTTTATCCATATTATAATATTGCACGCATTTCATCTTCAGTGTATTTTTCAAGTTGAACATACCTTACAAAATTTTTTTATTTGAGTGAGGAAAGTGAGTAATGCATTGATAAACACTCGGTTTTTTGTCTATTTTTTTACAGAAGAAAACTTATGGGCTGATTTCAAGAAATTAGAAGCAAACAATTTGGAGCTGGATGATTTTGAACCGTTTACAGTAACATTTCCAGGTTAGTTGATTCACATTATTGTGATATTCATTTTGCTTAGACAATAACTAACCTAATCTCAAAATTCACAAGGTCTACTGAGTCCTTTTGGAAGAGAGCTAATTAGAATGGTTTTGGAATCAAGGGTTATAAGTTTCTCAGATAACTGGCCTAAATATCGAAACTACTAGATTAAAAGTTAACTGTGGGTTCTTTAGGGATTTATTACAGGCAAAAGATTTTCAAACAACTGATGAGAACTCATGATCTGTCTATTCAGATAAGAAAGAGTAAATACGGCCATTGATATTTGTCACACTGTATTAGAAATCGGCTGATATTGAGAGTGTCTGGTTATCTGTTCTAATGTCTCTCTCCTTCAGGGTGAAGTTAAAGTATCATAACCAAAGTCAAAGTCCTTCAAAAGTTGACCTTCAAGGGCCGACAACGCACAGGGAATGCTATGAAATGTCATTCCAAATCAAATCATGTCTGCCTTTTTGGACTTGGAGTTATTTATTTTTTATTTTTTTATTTTGATTTACAGCTTGATTCCACACCGTATTTTCAGTTCAAGTGTGGAATTTTCAGCATGGATATCGGTAGCCCAAATTCAGGCCGACCATAGATATCGGGTGTGCGCCGGCAGGGGATCGAACCCCGGACCATGTGCATGGTCGGCGAGAGTCCTAACCACTGTGCGTCGGTGGCACAGTGGTTAGGACTTGGTACAATATGACACCAAGAAAGATGCGCCACACAATATTGTGTGAGGGCTGAGATACTGCCCGGGCGCCCAGACCGAAGCAGGTGGTTTTCCTAAGGGACCACCCCCCGAGCCTTTGACTTGGAGTCTAATCCGCAAGGCAGCGGAGCAGCGTCAGGAGCTGAGTTCCCATGGTTGCCGGTGACCATATGGGTTCATACGCCATTTGATCCGATTGGATTCTGGAGCCCATGTACCCCATGGTAACTGCTTTTAGTCTAACCGCTATCCAAACAACCTTCCTGACATGGTAGGACCTGCAGGGACATGAGTCCCAGCCAGTTTAGCTTGTTGGGTCACTGCGGCATTGAAGCCCGACCACCACGGCAATGTAGCAGTTATCGGTCGGGTTTTGGACTTGGAGAGGATGGATGCATTATTCTACTTATTTACTACGTGCTTTTTCTGCAAATCTATACTACTAGGTAGTGTTATGGCGTTTATGATTATTGTTTAGGATCTAGGGTTAAGGTTAGGTTTATGGTTAAAGTTAGGATTAGGAGTTAAGATTATGGTTAGAGTTAGGAGCAGGTTGATGAATAATGTCAAAAATACCAATGAATCTCAAACTAGTAGTTTAGTACTGTGACCTACAGTCACTTGGATGAGTGGATATATCGCGCATGGTACGCTTTCTCTATAGATAATCTGTGTATTGACTGGGAGGCGATTCTTATGACACATAAGCCACAAATATACAGTGTAATAGCATGTAGGCAATTTATTTTAGTGTATTTTTCAGCGATAATGCGACCTTTCCTTAGATCTGAATTCTGATCGGTTGTTCAAGGTCACTGTGGTTTCGGTTACGATAGTTTAACTTTGCCTCCCACAGAATTATTGATGAATATTTTCGGAATTAACAAAACAATACTGTTTTCTTTTTTAACTTGTCTGAATTAAATTGATGCTTCAGTTTCTATATAAACTGACAAATAGTTCTTGGGCATAGAATGAAACACTTGTATAGATCATTTACGATATTCATTCAGCGAGTTCATGTCTCATTTAAGGTCTGGTTTAAAATTTCATCTTAGCACGGATACAAAAGTTTCGTGTGATAATTACTGACATTCGCCATCTCAAGCGGGGTCAACAAACAAATGAGATGCAAATAATGCTTATTGGTCACCTTTGTGAGATGGTTCGTTGGAGGAAAGAAAAGTACGTAATTTGAAGGCATCTGTCTAGACATGTAGAAGATTTTAGGATTGATCCTAATGTACTCAAACACTAAGTTAACACTGTTGAAGTCAAACTGTGTTTTAGGTAAAGGTAGTCTAATCAATCAAGGGTTTGAATTCGCAGCAAATTGTAGAATTGTATGTTCACGGGTGTCAAACTATGGACTTATGCGCAGTGGTATAAGCTTTAATAAGATTAATTAATAGGTAAGCTTAGGTTACGCGAATTCCGCAAACAATCTGGGCGAACTAGTAACACAATAACTCAAAATGGCAATTCGCAAATTAATTCACGATTTGCGGTGTACACAGTTAGTTGGAGGCGCAATTTTGCCACAGTTTCCTTAGGAAACCGAATTTATTCAGATCACAGTATATGATCTGCTTGATAATATAAATCGGGATCAAGGAAACAGGCATAAATGCATGATGCTGTATACTACTGAGTGATTGATATCAGTAGTTGGATACCACTGACCTTAGTCAGGTTAGTCAGGCAAAGTTATCCTACTGAATCAGAAAGCACTGTGTATTAGTTAAATCTAGGCATAAACATGAAAGCTACAGATGTAGGATATGCATAATACATGGATTAGAGGTCTAATTGGCATTAAAAAAATAAATTGCATAGCTACAATTACTTTAAGGTTTTATTGTCCATGGAATTTAGATTTCATATTATTCCGTATTTAGTGTTAAATTACCAGTTTGAATTTCTATTAGAGTACTCGGTATTGTTTCTGCTCACTGTTTATTATGACAATTAATTAACACCGGAAAGCTGACCGGGAGCGTTAAGAAGTGAGGACAGTAGCAATACAAGTCTGCTTACTATCACCGATAATCATTTTGAATTTGGCGGACTGGATCAGGTAACAGTCCATGGGGAGTAAAAAGACAAGTATATGTAGGGTTGTCAAAAGTCCGTAGAATATTTTTGTATTTTGGATATGTTTTATGTCTCATATTGCATAAACTCACTGATAGGGAAGCGAAAAGCAGGAAGTTGACAGAAGATGTAACGAAGGCAGGATTTCAAATGTGAATACAGAGAAGACGAAGGTGATGAAGATACCCGACCCACAACAACAAACACCAATTATTATCTACGTCAGGAATCTAAAGCAGATCGTCTTTCACCTTCCTGGTCAGTATTGTTTTAACTACACGATGGTGTCAAAGTCATCCAGAATTGGGAAAGCAAGATAGGCGTCCATTACTCGGAAATCAGTGTAGAGATCCATAACATTTAATGCAAGGGACAAGATCCGAATTTTCAATACTAATTTCAAACAATTGTTTCTATACTTTTCAGGGACTTATTGCGCTTATATATGTCCAAACCAAGTTCACTTTTAACAGGCATTGGGTATATGATATTCATTATAATAAAGGTTCTTGTATTTTCCAATGAATGAAAAACAATATCGTTTTGTTTTTCATTCATTAGGAAGTACAAAAACCTTATTGTGCTTGTCAAAAAAGGAATTTTCAACGAACTACAGATTTTCATCAACACCTGCTTCCGCTCAAGTGGCCGGGCAGAAAGAATAAGCAACAAAGAACAGTGGCAGTATAGCGAACTAGGCAGCAACGTATGCGGAAGGAAGTTGAGATGGGTTGGTTATACGCTGAAGAGTTCATTAAGTGACATCAGACCCCAGGTCCTCGAGTAGAACCCTAACTGGAAGCGACCATTTGGGTGGGTATCCATGGCTAGCATGAGGAAGATTGCATAAAGAGGAAATGAAAGCTTCTGGGAAGTTGTGGTGCCAGCTTCTAGTGTTGGCAGAGAAGTGAGTGCAGTGGAAATGTGCCGCTTAAAGCACTGCATTCTGCTGGAAACTCAAGGAACTAGTAATTATATTAAAAAGACAATTTAAGCAGATGTTTTTTGTATGAAGTTGTCTGTCTTTATAATGTCAACTTCCACTAAATTACTCATGAACTGTATTTCTTAGGGTTTGATTACAAATTGTGCTATACAATTTCGAATTGTTTTCTCTCCTTCTTTTACAGAGTCAGATGATGATTCTAAATCCTTTGTTACATGTTGCAGTGACATTACTGGAAATACTGATTTCGCCTCAAATTTTCAAAGTTTTGATAATTCTGACTCAATGTCTTGTAAGTAAGACTACTTGCATTTCAGTGTCATATGGAATTGAATTTGTCTGTATGCCTTTCACGAATCAATATGTTACGCTATTTAATGTATTTAATATGAACTTACCCTTGTAGTAAAAGTTAAGGAGAAAAATGTTTAGACAGACTATGGTAAAATGAATAAATAACTTGTTAGAATGTTACAGTGTGAATTGAATACATTTTAACATTATTTATTATCCTCCTCTGATTTGACTGGTAATAAATAACATCTTCCATATCTCTGGTATTTGTGTGGAGTCACTTCTATTGTATTTGTTGGTTGTAGACTCTATGAACCAGGATTCAGTAGTCAATCTGTCTCTCCACCTAACTGCCTATATTACTTTTTAGAATTTTGACTCTGTCACACCCTGTCATGAGGTTGTGTGTTAATGCATGCATGTATATAAACTTAGCAAGAAAGTTATGTGAGTACCTTGATATGATTATGAGCAGTAATAAATTGTACTCGAAACGTGGTCACACTGTATAACACTGTGTGACTTTATCAAAATAAAATTTTATCCATGATGGAATTGTACTCTGCCACAATGCCCAAGTTTTATCCTTAAACTTCTGCATACTATATGGAAAGTAAAAGAGAAAGTTATTGAAAAAACATAATCAGAAGTAGTAAAAGAACTAAAACAATTAGAAGTACTGGATACCGTAATTCATATGAAGGTAAACAATGAATACTCTTGCACCACGTAGAATATGTACTCCTAAATGATGAAGATCACGTGGTCAAAATTCGGACAGTTTACATATCTTAGCACTGCTCATAACAGCAATCACCAACTTAATAATTCAGTGATATACTCGGTCTTATTACCCTTTGCAGTCTCCCAATCTAATCCCACTTCAGCTTGGATGAAGTGTTTATACAAACCTTCAATAGACAAGAGTAATGTGTGCTCTGATCACGTTTTGTCATGAAAATTCGTAGTCATCCTATGTGGCTCATAAATTCTGCTTAGAATTACACGACTAAGTTTCGCATTGCTCACCTGTTTGTGCCATCAATAGCTGAAGATAACGAGAAAGTAACTGTGTTCATAGTCTTTGTGGGTACTCATCCCTTGGCCTCCACATTTGCAGTCTGACAAGAAAATAAAGCATAGTGCTACGCGTATTTTCGTCCTTTAGTTAACAACTGGATATCTTGTCGGCGTTGTAACAATGGCCAAGTGAAGCCTTTATATTCTCGTTGGATATCTAAATTACTCATTGAAAACAGTCAGAGGTATTATTTTATTTATTTATTTATTTAAACACAAACTTCGCACAGTATTCGCACAAAGAGATGTGCCACTCAGAGGTAACCATTTCTAACATCATAGAAATTATGGGCGTACTGTCGTGGAATAATTTTCTTCTGCTAATTGGGTACACATACACAGATATATGTCATATCTCAACCAATATATACTTATGATGTTAAAGTAATGGAGATTTATTGCTTAAGTGGCTATTTTTGGTGTTATTGTGTTTTATGACTTCAAAATGAAGTTAGGGTTGAATATTTTGCATACAAGGATAAGAAAAATCACTTAGTTGAACTGACTGTACCAGAGGGCATAACAACGAAAACTTGCAATAATAATAAAATAAATGATCTTGAATATATAGTACCGATATAATGCATCTTTTATTCCTAAAATAAACTCATCAGTGTTCTTATTTCTTCTGCTTCCCTTTTATAACAAAGGCTTTAATCAAAAACCTATCTCTGGTTCTCCTCCAGTTTCAAGCAAACTAATACTCATATTAGTAGTTCACGGTGGTGAGTTTTGCGTTTTTATAATAATTTTGTGTGTAGATCACTAGGTTTATGAAATTATTCTTTGGCTCTTTAATAATTTGTTTTTATAAATGTCTATAGAGTTTTTCATACATTGAGGTACCTTCTGAAGTGTACTCGTGACTGTTATAAGCGGATAAATGTAATGGTGATTTGACGTGTGCTAAGGGGACAAGAATTCACAAGTAGTATACTGGTGACGTCTTCTGCAAGAATCCCAAATAGCAGAGTAACGAATTAAGTTGTAATAAGGATAAATGAAGAATGTTCTGCGACAACATAGAAAGCATGAAATGAAGACAAAAGGAGCAGAATACAAATAACATTCGCAAATTGAACTTTCATTGCATTATTGTGGAAAATAAACAATTCTGTTACCACGTACTACTCTGTATTCTGCCGTTACAACGGTCCGTATTGGTGACCTTTAGTACATATCTGTTTGTTGTTCATAATACTTCGTAATGAGGAGCTCTGTCTTTTTGAAGATGCAAATAATCTAGACTAACATTCAGTATCAATGAATCTAAGTTCCAAGTTATAGCTAACACTAACGCTTATCTAATTCATTTCTACTCCAACTAATATTTTTCTTTTAATTGGTGTCCGATTTACTAACACAGTTTGTTGCATTGAAGACGCACCTAACGTTCTAAATCATCGTAGATTTTCTCTTCAAAAATATATTTCGTTATTCATGTCATTTATGTAAAAATTGACGCTTTCAAATTAGCATTTCTAGCACTGCATTATTTTCTTTATCCTGTTAGGTTGTATCCTTGATTCGACATATGATATGACTACAAAACGTTCAGATACCTTGACTTTTCGAAAGACAATTGAAACAGTAACCGCTAATCACTATCCAACACTGCATAATCGAATAGCTGTGAAACTTGTACCATGTCCCACTGAAATTGGTGAAATATTCCGTCTGTTTTCCAGGTATATGTTGATATATTTATTTTCTGAATATGCTCTTTTTTACTATTCAAATCTTATTTTTGCAGAGAAAAAGTTACTCATTGAAATATGTGTATATAAACTGATTTTTGATATTCTTCTTTAATTAATTTTTTCTTTAGGCTGAAAACTACACCAGATCTTAATAGACCTATTGAAAGTCAATTTTTACGGGATATAATGCCTTTGGGGAGTATTCCTTTGTTTCTGATTAATTCTCCTGGTTATCATCAAGTGAGTTTTATGCTTATCTTGTGTTGTTATCTCTTTCAACTTGTCATTGGATTATGTATAACAAGCAATTATAGTGTGCAGTTCACCTGTGATTCTATTTTTTCCATTCAGCGTGAGTACAACAGATACCATACTCTGTTGGCATCTCTATGACGCTTGTAACATATTTATTAGATTTATCGGTGGACTATTGTTTGATAATGTTACAGGTAATTAGTGACAACGTAGTCTAAACAAAGTAAATCAATAGGATGAAAAATGTATTTTCCCTCACAACTCTTCCATAAATCAGTATAAATAGCTAAGAAGCTATATTCGTTAACATCTGCTGTCCTATCTTTGTATATCGTATAATCCTACAGTGTTCCATACTAACTTGAAAGTCGTTATTACTAAGCACCTAACATCTTTACTAGTTGGTACAGCTTTGCATTTTGCAATAAAATGGGTTTCATACGCCACCGAATCATTTCGGATTATGTTCATCATAGATTTGGAATCAGGGTCTCCCAGCAGCAGCAGCGGCAGATGGACTTTGATATCCATTAGTTAGGTTATAAACGCTTAACATTCTCATACACTCAAGTGTTGGTTTGTAGGGATTTGATTGGTTACAGGATTTTCATCATGAGCTGACATTAGTTAGAGAACCATTGAAAACCTGGGAGTACTGGACAGCTGTTTCGTCCTAGTTTGGGATTCTTCAGCAGCACGCACCCACCGGGATTCGAACCCAGGGCCTTTTGGTTACAAGGCGAGCTCGTATACCATTAAGCCACTGGGACCCGATCCAATGGCCCATGAATTCTAACTTCTGCCAATTCACGACATAGCGCGACTCCTAGCCAATGTCTTCGGTGAGTATTTGTCCTCACACTCGACCTGCTGTACCCTACTGGTCACGACTTCTCACTAGAACCCCAGGTAACTACCTACCTGAATAGGGCAAGTCGCTATTGAGCATCTCATTGATATTCAAGTGTTGGTTTGTAGGGATTTGATTGGTTACAGGATTTTCATCATGAGCTGGTGGGTGCGTACTGTTGAAGAGTCCCAAGCTAGGACGAAACAGCTGTCCAGTACTCCCAGGTTTTCCAATGGTTCTCTAACTAATGTCAGCTCATAATGAAAATTCTCATATACCTTTGCACTTTTGTGAGAACCCCACTACCGCTTGAAGGCGGTGAATAGGAATTACATAGCATTGGTTATGAACGCGTGGACACATGATAGCATTTAGAAAGGAAGACTAGAGTTAACCCTCAGCAAACTTAACTACCCTCAGCGACAATTAACTAATAAATATCCAAGTTTTAATTAGTATTGTCTGAATCAGTTTTATAAAGGTGTTTATGGGCTTTTATCTTCTAAGCTAAATTGTTCTTCATATACGTCGTAACTTTAAAAACATACTTTGTACCAGGTAACTATAATTTTTACTCGTTTGCATATGTGTGTGCGTGTATATATATATATATATATATCCAATGAGGCATAAAGGAAATTAAAGCATTACATAGATGAAGTTATTTTCAGGAGTTATGCAGTCGTAATTATATTTACTAGAACACATCAGATTGTATTACTGAGTAATAGTGGAGTGTGACATAAATAACACAGCCACTCCAAAGTGGATTCCAAAGACAGAAAGTCAAAGGTATGTAAAAACCACAGAGACAACAGAAGGATGTAAGGCTCGATAAAGTGAATATCTCTCACACGCAAACTATTTGCTTTCTATGTAATTATATTAGTGATGAAACTTTAGACACGAGTCTTCAGATCTACCGCTTAAAAGAACTACTGCTGTGGCATACTTTTAATTTCTATTTCAAGTTCTGTAACATACGGTACAGCCAAAACAATTGAGTTAACATGGGGTCTCCAGGTTAAAGACTGTTTCTTGGTAGGTCTACAAAATAAAGTGTCAAATTTAAAACCTTATATTTTATCTGACTACTACGTGTTTCTTTCCCGACTCTAGAAACAACCTCCAGGTTATTGTATCAATCCTTTCACTTCTAAATTTTACTCACTAGTAGACTGCTATACGTTTTACTGAATACAGACAAGATGGTGCGATATTTGAGGATAACTTATATATATATATATATATATATATATATACATTGCTTTACATAACATTCCACAGTCTTGTGTTATTATAATACTTATTATGTATTCCTATTGTTTATTCTTTTTCGCTTTCTTTCTGTTCATTCAAGCGCCTACATTGATTCTGAAGTCATAGTAACCCGTTTTCATACATACATTTTTTCATTGTTTCAGTTTTCTCTTCATATGTGGGTGTGAGTGTACATACACAGTCTGAATGAGATTAACCTTTAAATAACAAGACTGTAAAATGTGTATTGTATGCTTCGATGAAAATCATAACTGATTACATGATCACAGAAAGCACATATATATATATACTGCTTGTTTTTTGTCTAATTTCAGGTTGTATATGCTTGTTAAAAAGTTTGTTTTCTGTAATGTGTAAAGACTGGCAGTAGTATGGACACTTTTACTAATGATTTTCTTAGCCAGCTCAATAGTTGTTCAACTTATTTAAATGAGATGTGGTAAAGCAATAGGCTAGTTGTTGTAACACCAACTGTTTACAAAACGTGTCAGTTTGTATTCTGATTACAGCATAATGCATTCAAATATTTCTGGACTCTTTTATTAGATATTCCTTTGATCTTTTTTTTGTTTGTTTTTGATCTCATACGTAGACAGTCATCTGTTTTCTGTGGGATCTCTGGTGTATACTGATTGAGTTGAAGGTTTTTACGAGATATGGCTTATTGGACTTGAGGACTCCACTTTCAAGCAGTGACTTCTGCACCTACTTCAGGCTGCATAACCGAGCAGTTTCATCAGCCTTGGCAAAGTAAATGTAGGTCCTAGTCTAGAATGTTAAAAAAGCATTTCAAAGAAACTAAGTTTCAGCTTCTCGCGCGGTATTTCGGCTTCTTAGAGAATTACACATTTCTTGTTAAACTTCGCAACACTTTGCGTGTTTGTGGTTACTGAACTACGATTTATAATTTCAACATTATGATTTTCGTTACCTGAATGCGAATACTGCTAGTGATAACGAAATTAAACGAAGTGACTTCAATCTTCAGTTTGGAACTTTGCACAAAAGTCCAGTAGTTCATACTGCCACACCCAATAAAGCACACATAAAGGTCGAGAAAACAAATAAATGCAAAGAAACTGTAGTAAATGGAATTGTGCGAGGGAAAAATAATCACGTGAAGAATAATAAGAACTTAAAAGATCTAAGAGTTCATAAAGAGTGAATGCATCTGTGCCTTTGAGAAAGATTTTGAGCCCTATAACCTGCAGTCTTCTACTATTCGAAGACTTCAGACAGTCAGTTGGCGCTTCCCTCACGTGACTCAAGTTAAAAGCCGAGACTTCCTGGTTCGTTACCAAGTTTGTATTTGACTACCGCTACTTCTTTTCTAGACTAATCTGATTTCTGCCAACACTGCTCTACGAAGAAGAGAGAGGCTTGGCATGCATAGTATGTGCCATATCCATCTTAGGCAATGTAGCTTCACAATCTTATTGATTAACTTACTCTTCTTACGTAATATTCTACGCCTAACCTAAATATTCGGCGCCATATGATACCAGTTAACACAGGATATAGAATGCAAAACCTATTATCAAAGACAGCTAGACTCTTTAAATCCTACATTTTTGATGGTCATTTTTCATATCTGTGAAGAAGGGCGAAGTATACTGCTGTAAAGTTAAACCAAACTTATAATTAACATCTCATCTAGTGATACTTGTCAGTCAGGGAGGTGGATGTAGATTCTCCGAATCAACATCAGTTTGTTTTGCTTAGGATCGTATGCATGAGATAAGCTTGTTATTCGATTTTTCATAGGATGTGATAGCTATCTCAATATTTTACAATTGTTCGGTTCAATTAGTTCAATATAATCAAAGTTTATACAAATCTATATACACTTTACTAGTGCATTTCTTTTTACTTCAAGTTACACAACGTATCCTGTTGCTTTTTGTATTCTATTTCACTTACCCTCTATAGTAGTGAATTTCGTAATTAATACAAAGTTTAGCTAAGCACGTGTGTCCTGTATGCGGTATAATGGAAAACAGCTTCTTTTGATATTACATGCAGTGAAAGGAAATGATGAATTTGTTATCGATAACATATAATATAACTCAGTTACCCGGAACAGATTTTGCATGTACCAGACTGTAAGTTATGTATCAAGGCTGATGATGCTATCCAGTTGCCAAGGTTAAAGCAGGTGAAAACAGGACCTGGACCTAGGACAATTCGACTGAAAGTTAAGTGCTTAAGTCAATGAACCACAGTCCGACATTAATTTATTATAATATTCGTAAACATGATATCAGGTTGTCGTCCAAAGGAAGTGTGTACTGCTCAGACGTCCACTCCGTCCTCCTTTGTCGCTAGCTGTGAGACATGACCGTTGAAAGTGGAAGATATGAAAAGGCTAGCTGTCCTTGATCATAGGTGTCTGAGTTCCTTCTCCCGTATTAGGTGTATTAATAGAGCGAGCAATATTGAGGTTAGGCGTCGTGTGTTAGGTAAGGAGGGGAAATCAATTGACGAGATCGTGAAGTTACATCGATTTGAGATAGTTAGGACATGCGTTACGCATGTCTAGCCATCGCCTTCCTCGACAATGGACAATGTTGGCTGACTGACATAGGATGGATCAGGCTGGAAAAGAGCCAGTGGTGGTCAAACCGAAACATGGCTTCATCAGTCAATGAAATCTACAACAGTTAGTTTAAACCACATAGGGGAGCGTAGAATTCCTGACTGGTTGGGGTCCTCGGGATGGTAAGAACCAATGAACACTGTAGACAATTGGTGACATGGCTCAAAATCATTCTCAATGGCTGGTGCAGATTCGTTTATTATATCCAGTAAAACTCTACTGTTCTCTCATATTACTATTCTTTTTGCCTCATATTTCTGTTTATTATCTCTGTTTTGAACTTCCTTTTACTCTTTTCTCTTGCTTTGTGTGCTAGATGGAGGGAGAGTGGCAACTCGAACTGGTGCACATCTGTGCAAAGTTCTATGTTGAGGCCAGTCAGTCACGCAAAGATTCTATTACTATAACCTTTAATTTGTACGTTTTGATTTCTGTACCAAGCCAAATTTCCTGAAGCTTATCCATGTAGTATTTTATTCTCTTTTGATTGTATCTGATTGTTTCATAATTTCTATTCAATTAATTTCGTATTGTTTAAAAGACAAGTCAATACTGGTCTTTTTAAATTAATAATGAAATGAATCGGTACATTAATGATATCTGATCTGAGTTGTGTCTAATAAGCAGACTATGTCTCTCATATATATATATATATATATATATATATATATGACAGTTTAAAATTAATTTTTCATCACTGTATATAATTCGATTGTAAAACAGGTCATCCAACTAAATATTGTTTCAATATTTTGGAAAGTAGAACTTTATCAGTACAGTAGTATATTAAGGTGAACAATACATTATATCTATGATACCATGCTCTGCTATTACAAGCCACATTCTGTAATAGCCTACAGTAAATTTAAAAATCATCAGTTTACCCACCTGTATCTCATTTTCATGTTAAAGTGTATACTAAGGATATTGTTTTTACCGCTTTAGATCCCTTTAGTGTCGGCATTAAAAAGAGAAGAATGATTTATACTTTTTTCACTCGTATGTTCGGATCATATTTGACATGATTATAAACGTTTTTATGTTTCGAAATCTAAACATTAACATAATATTTTGACAATAAGCGCTGTATTCTAAGTATCATTACAGTCCTGTAGGAGTTGAATGGTCAGCCCGAATCGCTCAGTAGTAGTTGCGTCTCGGACTTGTAGCATTTAGTAGGAGATATAGATTCCTTCAAGCTTGCAGAGGTGTACATCTTGTTGACTAGTGCCAACAAGTGCAAAACCCTGGGTACAGAGTTTCCTGCTGATTGCCTCCAATCACCTAACGTTACTTATTAGACTATTTGTTAGTTGTTCGTGGTGTATATAGCTGCTGAACAGAATTTCCTACAGCAATGTCGCAAGCCGGAATTTTATGACTGTATAACTTTGGACATCAATCTGTCTGAAGGAAATATCCTAGTAAATATTATTGTTTGACTATTTCCTCAAGCTTTTTCACAATTTCGCAATTTTAACTTTTATGTACATATTTTTATTTGGTTGCAGATGTTAGAACAACTGACATTTAATCTGAACACCCATTATGCTGAATTTCTGCGTTCTCCTGAAGGATTCGGTTTTTCAGGGACAGTTTGTATTGTAGCAGATAGTGTTGGTTCAATACTAGCACATGATCTCTTAAGCATGCCAGTTACAAATCATTTGACAATATCACGTGATAATAATAACAACAGTAATAACAATGATATTAGTGTAACAGATATTGGAGTAAGACGCAGCCGTGATCAATTCAACGTGCAAAAACTGAAACTATCAGATAAGCAGGTGAAAAGTCCAACCATAATAAACAGTCCCAGTGAAGTTACCTTATGCCCTGTAAGTTTTCTAGGTGAGTGTGTTGTTAGAAATAAGAAAAATAGATGTCCTATAAATTCATGTATCATAATGTTCTTTTCAATAATTTATAAATTTTATATAATGCTTGTAAGATTACTGGAAATTCGTATGAAATTTTGATTTCTATTCAATGTGTGATCAATTGAGGCTTGATTGGTTGATGGAACAGTTCTAAACAGAATTTTTACAAGGCTTTCGTTTATTTATTCACTATAATTCCTCTTTTACAATGTACATTTTAGTAGAAGACATTTATCTGTCGAATAAACCTGACGGGAAACTTTAATTTTTATTTAAATTAATCAGTCGCATAATTCAGTAGTCATTTTGATTGTTTCCTAGTTTTAATGAACACAGCATGTAGTTGCATACAAGTTTGATAGTAATTTTTCTAGACGCCTACTGTTAAACTACTGAATTTGAGATTAGATAGGTCCCGAGTAAGGTTTCACTACGAAATTCTATCTGTTAGACGACTATTAAAACCAAAGGAGAACTGAAGAGTTGTTTCGCCTTAGTTTGGGACTCTTCAGCATTATGTGCCCATGACCGTTACTGAGGGTTGAACCCACGGCCTTCAGGTTACAAGGCGAGTATGTTGATCAGTAAGCCACTGGGGATTGAATCTAGTCACCCATGAAACTTAACTTCTGTCGATTTTCGAAATATAGGGTTGCCGCCACCCAGTGTCATCGGTGAGTATTTGTCCTCATATCGAACTTCGTAAACCCCATTGGTCATGACTTCTCATTGGAACTCCAGACAACTTCGTCATGTTATCAGTCACCGGTGAGTATTCGATTAGTTTGATTGATTTCAAGATACATGTCAGTGTCTCAGCTTACTGATTGAAGCAGTGATTGTATTTCGTGACGATGGTAATTCGATTGGATTAGCTGTTTTCTTTCGACACTTTATTTCTTCTCCTTTGGCAATATTAAGCTTTTCAAATATCTTGTGCTTATCATAGTTTGTTTATGATATCTGTAACTTATTTGCTCTCTTGTTCAAAAATATTTGTTTAATTCTTTATGGAATTTGTCCAATAGTTATTTGTAACTTGTATTGATCGTAACATCACTTATATATATGACACTGATAACTAAATACACAGATATTTACGACAATTTTTTAGAGTGGAAAGTCTGTGTTCCATTTTTTAGGTTAAAAATTCTGCTTACTAACGAATGAGCAGGTAGTCTTTTATACGGTTGTATTTTTGTTACTAATATTTTTCTTCTTACCACTGTTATTTGAATGAGCTTTGATTTCACATCAATAAACCTGTGAGCTGACACTCATACTTTTATTATTTTTTTTTAGCCTGATTCAAAAATTATTTCGGAAGGTACTGAAGTATCACAGTCTGGTGATCGAGATCGGGAATCTGAATCATGCAGTCGCATGTGTGCTTTAGACTTTCAGGTATTTTCTTGAGAAACGATGTTTTTAAATTTCTCTACGTCAGTGATAGTTAATGTTCATCACTGATTACGTGTATTTTTTATCTGCTAGTAATTTGCAAGTTTTTACTCCGGTAGATACGCACAGGAATAAATACTTCTAAAATAAATGAATTAGAAGAGTAGATTGAATGTCTTAAAACCTTTTAAAGAGTCCTCCTATAAGGCCAGTATCATCCATTATCTTATTAGTCCATCGTAAATGAACTAAACGTAATTATCATTGGGTGAAATTGAATCACTACAGATTATCATACTTTAGATAAGCACACAGAAGTAGAGAAAAGAGACATAGTGAAACTACATTGGACAAAGATGTGCAGAAGAATAAATAATAAGATGGAGATTAGTGAAGATTTTATGATCCTCGAAGGTCACATGAAATATATAAATTTGCGTTATGGAGATCAATTTTGTGCAGTCACCAACAGTCTAGAAAATGGCCACATCTAACTCTTTCCCGATATAATCATGAATCCGCTAACAGTGGTCGTTGAGGAGGGCGATGGCTCGTAATAGACGGTTACCCATCTCAATCTAAGCAGTTTCATAGCTCCATCTACTCTTAACCTCGTTGTGACTGGTCATAATGCAACACCTAAGATGACAAAAGAATAAATGTAGGCATTTTTGGTGAAAATCCGTTGATCTTTTCATATCTTATACCTTTAGCAGTCATGGCCTACGACGCAAAGCAAGACGATGCAAACTGCTGCATAGTACACAGGTCCTTTGGTAAATAATCAGATATCACGCTAGCACTAAACTTGACACAAGCTGACAAATATCAGGCGAAATTCCTGTATCCGTGCTAAGATTTCATCATTAGTCAATCAGTAAGTGCTGACGCAACTGTCTGTTTAAGGGATGTGGTCAACATATTCAACTTGAACTGCTGCACTTTAGTGCAAAGTTATGCGTCGTATATACACTTAGTAATTTAGGTATTTAAAAAACAAGGAATTTACCTCAGTTGTTTGTGTCCTCAAGTGTTATTTGCAACTTTGCATATTATGCTTAACATATTTGTTTATATTAGTTGACATATCTATGATAGTATTTGTTCGACTGCCGTCTCTTTGTCTTTATATTTTGTTTGTCATACATATCATGCAATATAGGCTTCGTTTTGCTGACCGATAATTACATAATAGTTGCCAATTGAAATAAAAGCGAAAAACTTGATCACAATGGTATTCGAACTAGCGGCTTCTGTATTTTGTGCATATACATATATAATCACTTGATATGTATTACCTAGTAATTGCATTCTATTGTAGAAAACTGTATATTTATAATTTTCTTTTCTTTTCTGTTTGGTTTGTTTTCTTCATATCTACAAAATCAATAAAAATAAAACACTAGGTACAAAATTTCTTCATGTTGGGTTCACCAGTTGGTCTAATCTTGGCCTATCGTCATCAACAAAATCAACTGCCAAGTCTAACACCATGGCAATTAGCCAACAATACACCCAATGCTGTTTACCATTCTTCACAAGGTATTTTCTGCTAATTGATTGAATTGCATTCGTCATTTGTTTATTTTACGATAGGAGAACAATATAAATCAGCTTCTCTCTATACCACTTTCTGACATTTAATTGGATGGTGGAGAGATTTAAATTTCATGAAAGAGTAGGAAACTTATGATTAACTTTACTTGAAATTATTGACCGGATAAAAATAGTATAAAACTGTCAGCTTAAAATTAGTGAGAGGCTTACATATATTTCATAAATAACTTGGTTTTAAAATAGGGTAAATTAAAAACATAGGTAAACTGTTCATCTTGATTTTTATCTGATTGTCTCCTGGTAACCAAATCACAGGACTGCATTTCGACTTGGGTTTGTTCACGTCACTAAAGGTTCAAAATATTTCCTCATTCACTAATGAGGCATCTTGACTAACTGTACTTTAAGACAGTTGTAAATAATCCTAAGAGACAACTTAATTATGTTAGACATTATCGTATTGCATGGAGGATTTCATCATGAGCTGACATCAGTTAGAGAACCACTGGAAAACCTGGGAGTACTGGACAGCTGTAACCAGAAGGTCCTGGGTTCGAATCCCGGTGGGTGCGTACTGATGAAGAGTGCCAAACTAGGACGAAACAGCTGTCCAGTACTCCCAGGTTTTCCAGTGGTTCTCTAACTGATGTCAGCTCATGATGAAATCCTCCATGCAATTCAACAAAATCCCTACCAAACCAATACTTGAAAAACTATCGTATTGAATATTGCTATGTTAATCTGTTAACTGTGAAAATATCATGTGCCAAATTCCTATCTTTTGGCTCTATTTACTTTATAGTTCCTTTAGTTGATTTATATGTAGTCAGTTTTGGACTTTGACTCTTGGTGTGTTTCAGTTCGTCGCGTTGGATGAGGGTCCACTCAGCATGTCATTCAGTAGTCTCTTGTATGTAGTACTTGAGATTTATATTTATATATGGTGGAGGCTATAGTTCGTGGAGGTGATGTAAATTTTCATTGAATGGAACGCTCTAAGTGCACTTAGCCTGTTTCTTAAAAATCATCTTGCGCAGACTATTTGGTTCCACTTAGGTGTTCAGTCTTTGACTATGCGATCACTGATATAGGAATCTGGGATATTTTTTGTTCTTGTAGTACTACGCAAGCCGGTCTCACCAATGGATGCTAGTACTGTGGTGAGAGCTAGCTGCTAGCCAAAGTTGGTAGACAGTAATTGACGTCAATGTTTATGTCCCCAATATTGGTGGTGAGAAAATGAGAACAAAGGCTTTGCGTAGGCGGATACAGTTAACATATGGCTGATCTGACAGAGCCACAAAGAGATGCAAGGTCAAGTTTCTGTGAGAAACAACCAATCAAAAGACTATATTTTCTACTAACAATAATCTACAATAATGTACATTAAAATCTATAAATATGTGTTGATTTTCCTTAATAAAGGATCTGTTGCCTGGCCCTTGTCTTCTTTTGTTACAGTACCACGTTAGAAAAAAAAACATAATTTAGTGCGAATGCATTCATTGATTCCAATTTATTCATATGTTTACTTGTTGGTTAACGCGAAGATTAAAACTCAGTGGGGCTCTATATGCTGAAAGTAAAATTGTGCTAATAAGGTTATGTTTGAAACGGAGTTACACATGATCTTAGCTCAGACAGCCGAGGGGCGTTTGAAGCGGACTTGATTGAATACTTTGTCATTTCGACAAAGTGTAGTTGTGTTTTCATTCTGATAACATTACTCAAAAAGTTTTATTATAGTCTTTCGTTTAGAATAGCAAAGTGTTGACATTCAAAGACAAAAAACTATAGAATTTTTCAGACGGTATAACTGGAAACGTTGGATTTTCTACATGAGTGGTTTTTGTAATAACTTTCTGCTCTTTTGAGACTTCTTCATGTATAATGAACCTCCTGATCAGTTCACTGATGTACAAAGCTACCTCATTTTCGGAGGCAGTTTCCTTGAAAAACAATTTCTGTACTTAAGAAGAAATTATGGGATGCTGGCAAAATATACAAGTGTACTCTACTTGTTGATTTGCTTATCGTGTTTAAATCTGTTGAAATTAAGATGTCAGCAGTAAAGAGATTAAATGTTTAATTTTTAGACATTAGAACCGAAGATGTTATCTAGATCGGCAATGTCAGCTTTGTAAATGGAAACTATGCAGCAGTGAAAACTCAATAACACCAAAAAGACGTTATTTTTACTTACTGAGGCAACCAACCTATTAAGATGATTTTGGCATTTCATAAATTTAATTTCCCAGCTTAATTTCAGCCACTGAATCACTTAACATGCCATCACTTTAGTCAGATTAAACTGTCTACAAAGTTCCTTCACAATTGTTGATCTACATAGTACAAGTAAATGATGACCCTATTACTATCAACCTGCACTAAAACACTTGTTGATCGTGTAATTTAACTTCATATACACACTAGCATAGGTAGTATACAATTCCCCAATTTTAATGTGTTAACACGTTTTCATACTAACTAATATTAGTATCTGTTGTTGTTTTTTGCATACTTCAAAGCACTTCAATGATGTGCTTTACTCACCCGTTTTTTTCTCTTCTTCATGAAACACTCTCAAGTGCACTGAAACCAGATAATTTTGTTACAATGGTTAATCAGTCGGATATCACTTCGACTTCAATAGATTTTAAAAAAATAATAAATTACTATCATTAATAAATGTATTAAATATCTAATCTTTTTTTTTCATTATGAAATTTGACTCTTTTAAACTTTTGTTTACTCTTCAGTTATGTTTAAAGTACGAGATTTTTCGTGTAAATGTTTTGTCCTTTATATAGAATTTGTTGTGTTTTTTCTGCAACTGGTTTCTCTCTCTCTCTCTTCATTTTGTAACTATGATTAGAATTCAGATTGATTGTGGATCAAGCGTACAATCTATTCCATTTAACTGATCCATGTGGTTTCCGTATTGAACCATTGTTGGATAATCGTTTTAGTCATATATCACCTATATTTATACCACAGTATATACGTTATCCACTTGGTGATGGTCAGTCCACAAATCTAATTGAAACTCTTGTCCAACAAGCTGAATTATTCTCTCCAAATTATTCAACTAGATACTTTAATTTCACCGAAAGTCCTAATGATTCAATAAATTCTGAGAATAGTGACAGCATTTCTCCGGTTAAATTACAACAACAGAAAGATCAGAAATTGAATTGGGAAAAGAAAACTTTTATAGCCTTAGAGACTTTAAAGAAAGGTTTGTTTTTAGATAGTTATTTATACTTGTTTTGTTTTTTTATGTATTTGTAATAATTATTTGAGAAAGATTGCACTTTTGTGTGTGATAGATTCTTCTGAATACCGAATAAACTTTTTACACATTCTATCATTTGGGTTTTCATATTTTCAGTGTTAATTTTTTAACATTACTTAAACAGGACAGCTTCCAGTTAGTATTAACTGTTTTAATTTATCAATTCAAATAGTACCCAACTCCTGAATAACAACAGTGTCACTGGACATTTGCTTAGCAAAGGTAAATACAATCATAAGTCTTACAACAAAGCCGATTATTGCTTTACACTCTGATTTTTGCTAATAAGGTAGCAGAAATGTGTGGAGAATACTTCATTTTTGAAATTTTTTTGAAGTGAGGAGTTTAGGAAGGAAAAAGTTGATACTCTACTCATAAACATTCTAATATATGATAGTAGATATCTAGGAAGACTGTGTTTATTAACTGAATGGTTTAAATTGATCCATTTATTGAAATATTGAACGGTGACTGTCTGAATTCATGTAGAACTAAGGGCTAGACAATATGTAATTGGTAAATCTCTAGTGGTCAATAAACTTGCCCATCATTGCAGGTCAGCCGAGACCTGAACAGTTCATTTTTGATGTCTCTAACGTCGCCACATTGCAACATAGGTTGGAATCTCTTAGAGGATAATAATTTTGGTGTGGTCGCAAATACGACCTATTGATAGATGCTAATAGGCATGTGGCCTAGGTTAAAGATTTTCTGTTGACTGTCTCCAAACATTTCATATATTGTTGTTTTAAAAAGAAATATTACATGACAGTGTCCTCATTCCTTTGTTTAAGATGCTGTATTCATGCTGCTTATAAAAAGTTGACATACAAGTGGAGAAAACCAGCACTACGTATTTGAAACCCGTATTTTCAGGATTACTATTCAATTTCACTCTAAATGCAGCATATTTGACAACTCCTTCTGTTTTCTCGGGATTAAAAAATATGGCTTGAAACGTAATTCCGTAACTTGAATGGCCTAAGTTTTGCTCAAGGTGACGTGCTGTTTCCACCATTCATCTATGAATACTGTGTAACTATTGAGGAGTTAGTAATATTTTCACCCACACCTATTGGTATTACCGATACGTGCGTGTCAATAAATCACTGGTTAACCCACTGGCTCGAATCTTTTCAATTGTTTTACTTAGTAACTTGGTTCAAGAAGTTTCTCTATGCAACCCTGTCGTACGATATTCATACATTCATCTTTTGCAATATATATATATATATATATATATATATATATATATATATACTGTATTTTTGGCAAAGCAGGTATTACACTAAACTCAGCCGCTACTTTTTATATTGGAGTACACCACCGTCAACTTCTTTCTGTTAACCTAAACGTCAACATCGCCTATAACTCTAAAGATTGTTCGCTATGATACACTGTGAAAGTCTGTGAAATATTATTCATAGAGTGAATCTCAACTTTTGAACACATATTTTTATTTTAAGTGTAGGCCAGTGTACTCTGCTTAAGTTTTATTCATTTCATTTTGAATTTTTTTTTAGTACGACAATCCTGGTGGGGTCCTAAACGAGTTGACTACAGTGTCCATTGTCCAGAAGCAATTCAAAATATCTTGGCTCGTGCATTACCTCCAATTTTACATGCCAGTTACTGGGAATCAAAAGATGTAGCGTCCTTCATTATAAGACAGGTTAGTTAATTTACAGTTGCACTATATTCTAAACTATACCGCTATACAGTGTTCCTTTAAATCTGTCAATCCTTAATATTTATTTCATGATTGAGTTGTGCTACGCCATTGACAAGGTAGATTACAGTACAATCCATGTGAAGTTGAATAGTGTCTTTGAAGTACGTGGTGTAGCCAGATATAGTTATCTGAGTGGCTTCCATTTAATCTATTGTGTACTACTGTAACAACAGAAGACAAGGGCCAGGCAACAGATCGTTTATTAAGGAAAATCAACACATATTTATAGATTTTAATGTACATTATTGTAGATTATTGTTAGTAGAAAATACAGTCTTTTGATTGGTTGTTTCTCAAAGAAACTTAACCTTGCCTCTCTTTGTGGCTCTGTCAGATCATCCATATGCTAACTGTATCCGCCTACGCAAAGCCTTTGTTCTCATTTTCACACCACCAATATTGGGGACATAAACATTGACGTCAAACATTGACTGTCTACCAACTTTGGCTAGCATCCAGCTCTCACCACACTACTAGTAGAACTCGCTGGAAGAAGCTGGAAGAAACCCATTTCATGACATTATGAGGTGTAGTTGTGTTTGATTAGCATATATATATATATATATATAGTACTCGCTTTCAACAAAAACTGTGGTAATCTAGTCTTAACACTTTTTTCACTTCTGTTTCTTAATTACTGTGTTTGCTACTGTGGCTATAGTCAAAACTATTCTTTTTCTGTTACCGGCGAATTCACCACTCTACTATACTTGTTTTTCTGACCAACTGTGCATATTTGTTAACTGGGTTCACATTCAGTTAAATTGTTTTGCAAATGAAAATGTAATCTAGTTTTGTGGTACTCATAATATGTTTCTAACTTGTTTAACTAACTCGAGTGATAGCCTTGTATTATTAGTTGTCACACTACCAATCCTCATATACATGACTTAAGGTTCTTTTATTTCCACGCACTTTATGCAAATATTTTCCTTCACCCAACTAATTCTAATTTTGATCACTTACTGATTCTGAAAGCTTGTCCGTAAAAGAGAGAAGGCTGTTCAGTTTTCGACGCAGCGTTATAGAATAGACGAAAGTTATGCTGCTTGTATTAGAGGATTTAAAAGTAATGATCAAACTCAGAATTAATAAGTTAAATATCTTAGTTTTATAAATGTCGAGAGTACGGGTTGTTTTTTCAGCTCATTTGTTAATCAAGTTATATGCTGTTTCAACTGTATGAGAGATGTGTAGAAATGTCAGATTTTCATTTCTGTTAAATAACTTGTTAATCAACACTGTTTATCTTTGTTTTCATATTTTAGCTTTTAGACACAATGGGACTTAGTATTTTAGAGACAGCATATTCTGCAGATATGGCTGATGAAATTGCCGTTACAGAATTAGCCAAAGTCTCATTGAATCCACTGAAGGTAAAATCACAGACGTATGATGTGTCCGAGGATTCCAGTACCCAGATTTCTCAACATTCAGGAAAATCTAGTAATCAGTCCAAATTTTCCAATTTCAGTCAGTCATTGTCTTTAGGACCTCGGAATTTCTTGAAAAGGACATCATCTGAAAGGTTAAAGGTAATAAAACATCATTTTATAATATTTATATCCCAATGTCTTGCATTATTTTATGTCAAAGTTGATGAAAGTATTCGTGTTCTGTCAAATGTCATTTTTGTACTAGTAGCTTAGAATTTTTTGTTTAATTTATAAGTCAGTTTTCTTTGTATCATTGTATTCACATCACCATTTTTCTTTTCCAAATGAATGAATTCTTGAACTCATATGCCCGAAAGAGGTCTTTTATGTACTGCGTCATAATCCAAACATATTACATGAGAGCTGATAATACCACGCAGTTGCCCAGGGCGAGGTTGGCAGAGCCGAAACCCACTAGCCAACAGCTAAATGTTCAAGCGAATGAACCTAGTCTTCAAGTTGACTTTTAAAGAAATATTTTTAGCGTTATACTGCAGTTTGCATTTTACAACTTTTTTAGGGCTGATTATGCCTTCATTAGTGCCGAGAAGCTTCATCACACTAGTCAAGGCAATCTATTCGAACTCATGTAGCCGTGTAAGAGCTTAAGGGGAGCTGTCATCTGAAGCGATGACAACCAGTATTGTCCGTCAGGGATGCCTATTGTCCTTGTTTTTGTTCAATTTCACCATAGATGTCCTAATGGAATTGACCCTAACTGACTTTAGCGACTTAAAGATTGACTTGCCACTAGGGGACAGTCTTGTCGACAAAGTGTATGCGGATGATATAGCTCTCCTAGTTGAGAAGACTGACAGAATTCAGAGTCTTCTGAACAGATAGAGTAGAAATCTTCGATTGTTTGATGTGCAATTCTCTCCTGTCAAGTGCAAGATGATTCTGCAAGACTGAACTGGTCCGACTCCTATCTGAAAGATAGGAAGTGAACTAGTAGAGCGTGTTGACTACTTCACTTATTTGAGAAGTTGCATTAGCCCTAGTCTACTGGTCGCTGAAGAAATTTCAGCACAAATACAAAAGGCTCGTGTAGCATTTACCAACTTGCATCATCCCTGGCGTAGACACGACTCTGGCTGTCGATCAAGGGATGCGTGTACTACGCAGCACTTCTCTCTGTCCTCCTTTGTGGCGGTGAGTGAGATATGGACATTTAAACTAGAAAGCCAGATGTTTTTGACTAAGCGGCATCCTATCTCATGTGTTAAGTGGTGTTATATGGTGAGTAATATCTGGGTTGGGCATAGAGTGCCAGGTAAGAAGGCCAAGTCAATCGATGAGACTGTGAAGTTGAGCCTACTAAGATGGCTAGGACTTATGTTATGCCTGTTTAGCTACTGCTTTCCTCGATGATCAATTCTAGCCTTACATAGGATTACGTTGGAAAAAAGTTAAGTGTGATCAAACCAAAACCTGACATCAGTCTATGAGATCTCTGATATTTGTTTTGAGCCACTTAAGGAGGTGTAGACTGCTTTGTGAGTCTCCTCAGCATACTAAGAACCATTAACTAGAGACTATTGGAGATTTAGAAAATCAAAACAAATGATTCAGCGAACAGACTCTTTTCAACGAATTTATTATCAAGCTGTACAATCGTATATTAATGGTTTTTAAGAAGTTATATCCGGTGAGGGAATTGAATCATAGGTGTGAATGCGTAAAATGATAATAATAATAATAATAATATGAAATGCAATTAAAACTAAAATGTTTGTGATTATAATCGTAGTTAAATGTCAAGTGGCAAAGCAAATTAATGTCATATATAGAATATTTGCATTTGAACAGGAGTCAGAGAAAAATTCGAGAAATTAAAGACGTATTTCTCCGGATTCTGTATGAAAACGTTACGTAATATTGTGTGAAATTTAATAGCATAGAATTTAACGTTGTAAAAAAAGAATTGATTTAAAATTACAAGTGGAACAAGTGAAATAATACCGGGGACAGTTAAAGGTGAGAGTAGTAACAGTAACAATTGACGTAATAAGGAAGAGTATACAAATTGAATAGACAAAAAATGAAAAATTGGTTGAGCAAAAATATGATTGGGGATTACCATACTTTGGAGATTTGACTTCAAATCTCTCTCATTAGTTCGAATGCATCCACTGTTTGTGATTCTTCGTAGCCATTCAATCCTCATGGTTTTCCATGTTACTGTTCTTTCTACTGTACATTTCTGCTCATTGTATTTCTTTTGAATCTCTTTTTTATTTTCTCTACCTTTATATGGGCTGTGGCAACTTGGACTTCTGTACTTCTGCACAAAGTTCTGTGTCAAAAGTTAGTCAGTCCAGTCAATGCTTACTGTTAAATCAATAATATTAATATCAATGAGCTTTACTAGGCTCTAATTAAAGACCAGTCAAGAAATGAAATCTTTGCAAGCTGAAATTACTTATACAACTCAGTTTTCAGTTTGTCAAACACTTTAAAATGTGCGTATTCTGACTTCAATGGATGATACCTGAACCTGCTAATCATTCACATTCTCACTTTTACCTAGGCCATCTGAGGTACATATCTTCATATGTAATTTGTTAATCGTACACGCCAGTATAACTGCCCAATTGATAATCAAGACGATACTATTTGTTACAAAGTGTCAAATAGTTTGTATTGATTAAGTTTTCCATATCTCTGCTTAGGTCCTCCATATCTTTCAGAAATTATGCAACATCTAAGTCTCAAAAAATACCTTTTTCTGATGAATAGTACTGTGTTCATGACTTCGTGTCACTTGTATGTGAAAATTCGTTAACATATGTAAATTTTTTTTTGAAAATTCTAACCATACCAGAGGGATAAAATTTTTATGGTTTTGTTTAGTCAAACGGTCATCATGATTTAATCGTACAGAGAAAAATTGAAATTAAATTTAAGGTCATCATTAATTTAACCTACAACATTGATGATAATAAAAGTACAAAAAATTGATTCGTGTTAAATGAAATAAGTATAACAGGGATATAATATTATTTGTATTCAGCCAAATTTAATTGTGAACCATTTTACGAGTTTCATATGAAATAAATGCATCAGAGTATGGTCGGAATTATTACAGAATTATACAGTCAAACAAAATATATCTGTCGTATTTAGTTAATTATCTGTAGTTATTATTATTATTACTTTTGTTATGAGTATCAACTAAGGAGAGCAATTAAAAAAGTTGACAGTACTGTTATAATCCGCCTGCTTCACTTCCGGAGGAAAAATGGATGTTCCTGTAATATATATATATATATTGAATTCGACAATTTATCTCTGTAAATCCCCTATACATATAACAAGTAGTTTTTACGGTCTCGAGTACCTGTTCCATAAGTAAGCCTTTTTATTCTTTAATGCATCAGCTAAACCGAATGTTAGGCTGGACACTTGAGTTTTTCCTCAACAGGCGCGAATAACTAAAAGAAAAAGAATGTATGCACGCAATTTAAGCAAAATGCGTAGTGTGGATTTTTAACAAATTCGTTCATTATTGATGTTGTATAAAATTTTGCTCAATGAACGAGATATCATGCAAACATGGCAACTTCTAATTGAATGATTATCTTGAAAATATGGTGAATTCTAGTCTATGCTGTGTGATGAGTGAAACTACTTCCAAGTGTGGTATATTGACATCATTGCATATGACTTTATTAACTTATATGCTGCTAAAAATGAGTGTTCTAATCCCTTGGTTCATATCCAGCATGTTGAGTTCTTATTTTGTTTGTTTAATATATCAAATACGTTTGCTTCAGTTTTATTTTTTCAATGAAATATATATACATATATATGGCAAATATTAAAACATTTCAGTCATACCTCTTTTCAAGAAGTAATTATATTTTTTAAAGTGTCAGTCAGAATTACTGTTACTACATGCATACCTCAATAATTCGTTATAACTTTCTAATTAACGCTATAAATCGTATGCATTGCGATAGCTTGATACTTTAAATTCAGGGTGATCTTCTGCTGCCTTATACTCTAGCTGAACAACATTCAACGGTGCAAGATCAAACTTTACAGTCAGTATTACTGAGATTTTGGATAGTTATAACTCCGGATTAAAGCGTTTTGAGTGTGCCTTTAAGTTGTCTATCAGTGGTAGCATCTACATTAGATACTGTCTCACCAATATTAAAGTCCTTGCTAGTAACTAGAAATTTTGGTTGAAAATGTTTTCACTAGATACTGTTATCATTAGCCTTTTAGTTTTAGTTTTCAAGTATTGATTTTGTAGGGATTTTGTTTGATTGACTGGAGGATTTCATCATAAGCTGATGTCAGTTAGAGAACCATTGGAAAACCTGGGAGTACTGGAGGGTTTGGGACTCATCAGCAGTCGTTGTTTAAATTTAGCCCTGGTGTTATCTGCTTAAACCTAGGCGTATTTATTAGCAGATTGAAAAAAAACCAAGTAGGAGGTAGTTTGTCGTTAGAGTTTTGATCAGCCCGTATTTTCTGAATTTTGAATTTATTTCCTGTCAGTCAGTCAGTCAAACAGATATTGACAGCATAGTGGCGCTAGCATTACTAACTTATTGGTCTATAATGCCATATCGCATTTCTGTACTTCGACCTGAAAGTAACTTTAAAATGGAAAGGAAAGCATTATTATTATTTTTATTTTTGCAATACAAACGAAAGGGGAATAGAGCAAATAAAAACTGCAATATTCAGATAAAATGATCAGGTGCCTTATGTTGGATCACGTAAAAATGTAATTCAAAGCACGATCTCTAACAAGGTTTCCATAACTCACAATTATAAAAAAAACAAATTATTAAAGCTATAGTAAATCAGGTACTAAGTTTACTCGCTGGCCTTACTCTTCCCGTAGTTACTAACAATGTTTTCGTTAGGTAGTCAGTGTTAGAACAGTGTTTTTTCTAATTGTACTTCTTTGTGTTATGGAAGATCATCGTTTAGAATGCCTTGGTTTTACAATATTAATGGTTATTACAGTGATTGTATTCGCCTTTATTTGTTGTAGCAGCTTTTAGTTTGTGTATAATGTTGAAAGTATTACTTTTATCTTGATATTTAAATCTTATAAAATTTACTAGTTTAGTTGCAAA